TCGATACTTACGCAGGGTACAACGGATGGTGTTGGGGGTGTCGTAGTATGAAAATTTTATATAAAGAGAAGGGAAATGGATCCTTGAGACCCTGTTGCAGCTCTACCGGGAGGACGAGCCGGAGTGTTCCGAGCTTTGTCAGTGCAGCGAGGGCGAGTCTCTGAGCTGCAACACCGTTTGCGTGGACAGGGCCCCGTGCAAGACGGACTTCGCCTTCTACAACCACGCGGCCCCCGCGTACCAGGCGTACCGAGGACGCTGCCTCTGCTACTCCGGCCGCTTCATCTGCATGCGCCCTACACCAGGTGAGGACGTCGCACCGTCTAAATTCCTCATCAACCGCGAGGACTGCCGTTGAAGTTCACGGGCACGGATTCTGACTCAGCGCCGGTATTCGCTGCTTCAGTGGAAGCTCCTTCAAAGTCCGCGTGTCCTGGGGCACTGCCCCGCGGTCCCTTGATTAGAGCGACGGTGTGCGCTTGTACATTTGAGATTCGGGGTCAGGACCCCAGAAAGACCGTCCCCTGGCAACACAATAAGGCACGAAGCACTTCATTACCTAATACGACGAGTCAGTTTAAATGCGTCAAGTGATATAATAGTAATTTGATCATCCATTAAGAGGCACTAAGTCAAGCCGCGTCGAATTCAAGAGTCAGTGAACCGCCTGATAAGAAATCGCAAGTCGATTTTCTTCCAGAAATATTAAAATAATCAAAAACACAAAAACCGTGTTTGATTTCGGCGGAAGGGCGGATTGATCAGTGAACATCTTGGTTTCTGCAGTTCCTGGTCTGTATTCTGACGTTGCAGTGTCGCGTAACAACGAGTCATTAAAATGTTTGCTTTCGAGTAAGAGAATAAGTAATCTGTTCACCGAACCCAATTAGACATTTTCCAGTAATCCAGGTGTTATCACTGGGTAAACATAAGCCTACAGAGAAACACAGACAAGTGCGACTGTCCCACAAAAGACAGAATTTCTGTCTTTGGAGGACAGTGTAAAAAAAGTGTAGCCTTCGTCCGGGTTTGCCGTCGGCAGCAAAAACTCTCGCATCCGTGGCTCATTGTTTGTGATAGGTGAAAATGTACGTATAATCGTCTCAGCGCAGACGTAATTAAAGCAAATACGAAACATTTCAATTCCATTTCGTGCGATCAACTCACCCCAGCATTGTGTCATTCTCTTTTCTCGCCCTCTGTCACGTCAGAGACAGAGAGAGACAACGCGGAATTGAAAGTTAATCATAGAGTGTGACAAAGACGGAAATAGAATGTCAAATCCCATAAATCAGCAAAATTAGGTAAACATGTTTGTGAGATTATAGCGTGGCGTCGTCAGAGGATCAATGAACACGGTTTAGTTCGGTATCGAAATCATTTTATTACGTAACATCCAGTATTTAGTCAAACGGAGTTCTTGCCTCTTCATATTTGAGATTATTTTCGTTTCTGAAACCACAGGCAATTCTAACATTAAATTAAGAGTAGAGACACGTGACACTTTCGCTGACATTTGATATTTCCCATATTTCGAAGTGGCCGCTCCTCATAACATTCTTGTGCCAGTGTCAGTGTTTTGTTTCTTTCGTGATTTGAAGTAGCAAGAACTTGCAGGACCAGGAGAATAATCGGAAGATAAGATTAAGATAATCCGAAACTGCAGGTTGCGGGGATGATATATTAATGCAAGTGGTTGAGGAGAGTTCTTTGCGTCGAACTTCGTTATTATTGAACTCTAATTCCACAGAATAAGTTCCGAAACATGTTTATAACGGAGAAGTCATATGAATATTTATCCCAGTTAGCAGTGGCCGTCCCGAGTTCGATTCCTAGCAGAGACAGAGAATCCAAAATGACTTCGGATCACACACAGCCTCCTTTCCAGTGGGTCATGGGGTCACGTCCGCCTTCCGCTGAAATTAAGAATGCGTTGAACTTGCTTGAGCTCGTCGCCTGCGTTCGTTATTTGTATATTTTGTGGCATTAACCTCTTCGACGATGTCACGAAACTCAGGCCTTGTGAGATCTTTAGCTCTGCAGCGAGATAAAAGCAGGAAATACTGAGGTGGGATTGCTCCGAGACATAAGAGTTGTTCGCAAATTGCAGACGCATACAAACTACCCCAGGGCGTGTTCCTGTTCCTGGGCTACAGTGAGACTGACGAAGCTCTGCTCAAGCCTCACAGCAACCTTTCGATACAAGACGCTGTGGGTTCCCTCCAAGACTTCATGCACCACGGACTCGCCAACAAGGTACGTTCACAGAATGCCGTGACCCAAAAAATGGCCTCGTGTAAGTTCGGGGCGTCGTTTTTGACCGAAGCAGATGCTTCCTTAACAGTCATCTTCGTGATGTGGCGCGAACAACAAAGTTTGAAAGTCGTTGTACTTTTCCGATCTTGTACCTCGCCGTGTCACTGAGAATAATGACCGCCGATGGTCACCAAATGTTCGTCGTCATTCCAACTAAAGTCCATTAACTGAATAATTACATTTTTATTTATTTTAATTTTCGGAGTAGCTTAGTTTCTGCCCGTACAAAAACATGTTAATCATTCCTTTCAAAAATTGCTGATTCACAATTTATAAATCAGCTGATCTCGATCGGTTGCTAAGACACTGAATAAAGGGATTTTGGTCGCCTTTCCCAATCCAAGATTCTGATAAAAACTTAGGGAACTGCGACAGAGTAATTGTTCAATGTCCGGAACACCTGTAACATTTACGTAAAAGTAATCAGTGGAGAACACCGCAGCATTATCGAATAAAATAACCGCGGTTTACGATAGTAAAGCCAAGTTTATGTTTCCATAGATCGATAATTTTGTTACAAGACATCCAAGATTAAACGCGTTTCCCCTTAAGTTTGAAGTGTTGTAGTTCCAATAGCATTTGAAGAAACTTCTTTCTAATTACTGACGAAAGACCGTAAGATTTTTTTCTTTCATCGAAGCATTTGACTTCTTGGATTGGCAGTGCTCTGTTTCACATTCAGAATTTATATCGCGAACCTATTTTCCTGCTCTTAATAAATCGGCGAACGCAAGGCGTGAAGTGTTCTCCTTTGTGTTGCAGACCACGTGCACGCTGGCATTGTACAACGTGACTAAGGAAAACCTGATTCTGGTGGCGAAAATCAAGAAGGAAAGTCGAGGCGCGAACCCTCGACCGTCACTCGACCTCCTGATGCGGGAGAAGGTATGACCACGCACATGTTTAAAAACTCTTCGGTCCTTCTTATGATCGCGCGAACACGCGTCATCAGAAGGAGCGTCCACTGACAACGGGCCTATTTGCGTTCTAGTGCACTTCTGATATAAACACTCAAGTCCATTCTTCGCCGATCACATCAGAGCATAAACCGAGAGTTTCGTCCCAAATTTAGTTGACGCGGAGAGCCCCTTAATTCGGCAATTTGGAAGGCACTTTTGTCGCCCAACACCTGACCCAGGTCGTTCGTGGGCAATCGAGCGAAATGCTAGTTTCATTTTACCTACGTTAATCGGCCAAGATAGTTCAATGTCCTCACTGGGCTGCTGTTTAACTGCGCCTGTTTCTTGTATGCTGACGAGGAAACGCGTAGAGCCCAAGTTCTCGGATTGTTTCAGTTTCCTAATCGTGACCCCCAACCTTTCCGGAAAGAGCTTCACGAATAGAACATGTAATAAATAATTTTGGGACAAATACTGAATCGAGTATTAAAGTGGCGCTTCTAGATAGGATTATAGCAGTAGCTAAGTACTCTAATCGGCGCATCACAGCCTTCCTTGAATCAAATTCGCGCCATTCAATCCTTTTTCCTAAAGATTCCCCGTACAATTTTGCTCCCGTGAATTCTCAGATCGTCCAAGGCGTTGTTACCGTCGAGACACCACGACTAAAATTTGGCACGTTCTGCGTGCCAAATGCCACTTTCATCTCACGTTTCCTTGATCTAATCCTCTTCTTAACAGGTCGTGAGTACAAAGCACCCGCCTCCTGTGACGTCGTCCTTCTCGGTCGAAATATTCAGTCCATTCTGTTCCTGTACGAAACACATAATCTAAAATCTTGACTCATGGGCATATTCTCTATAAGATATTGTTAAAATTAAAATAAAGGTAGCAAAAATTACAATTCGTGCCTCGTAAACGACGGAATTTCAGGTGTTAGCCTTTACTAGACGGGGTTCATGTCCGATGCTAACGAAAGTACGACGCCAGCGTCCTCTTCTTGCGTGTTTCTATGGCTACAGGAGGAGTGCGCTGGACCACTCCACGACATCAGCGAGAAGATCAACTCTCACCACCCGGAACTTCATTCTCACCTCCTCCTCTCCATCTTCAAGATGGCGGAAGTGGAGGTGAAGGTCCCGGATTCGAATTCGGGGCTGCGCCTCTCGACCGGAGTCCCCGTCGTCTTCGTGCTGCTCCTGGAACAGCTGCTGGCGTCGTGACGGCCCGAGCTAAGCGCCCACTGACGGGCTTCTTCTCCTTCTTCTTCTCATACATATCCAACGCCAACAACTTCTGTTGCGGACGTCGTACCTAACAAACCGGAAGACTGTCGTGTTCGCTGTGCAGAGAATTCGTTTACTGCAAACGCAGCTTTTTGAACAAATTTAGTAAGTGCACGAGTGACGTGTGGACAGGAACTTTGCAGTTGATGTGGCGAACAGCATTTATCACGAACGGTTAGCTACTAAATTGGGTTGTACCAAAAAGACTTTGTGGACTGAATATCCATTTATTGCAATTAGCAGCGAACAAATATGGCTGCTTAGGAGTTTGTATTTCAAGCCAGTTACAGCGAGGACGTATAAATGTCCACTGTCTGGGTCCTTGTTCCTTTAGATACACTTCAGACCTCCCAGGTTACGAGAAATCCATGCCATTCATTCTAAGTGAACGTTCATCCCTCGCTTTATTTAATTCCATTTTGGATTTCAAACTAGAATCTGCCTCATCGCTTTGAAGGTGGATTGCATTTGCGCCAAGTCACGATTTCTCCTCTGCTTGAATGGCGGTCGTCGTGAGTGAATTTTAGAGTTTACTGCCCTCACGAATTTGTCTCTGTTCATTTTCGAAGATTTCCTTTCCGGGTTGTAGAATTCCAGTCGCTAATTTGATTCGTCCTTTGGGGTGTAGTTTTACGTTAGTACCAGGTAAAGTTGGACGCGTCTCAGGTCGTAAGAAGGCCACAGACTTTCGAGTGTGTTGTCGTACCTTCAGCAGAAATTCTTTTAACTAACCATGAAAGAAAACGAATGTCATACTTTTATGGAAGTAACCGGTACGCAGGTAACTTAATTTTTCTAGGAAGACGTCAGAACGCCCTAAACAAAAGTAAATCTTCGGTTAATTTCGTCACAGTCTGCGAGTGCACGAGGATTGACGAAATCAAGACCGCCATTGATTCGATTTTACCTCATTTAGTCCTTATAAGGCGAATATGGCACAAAAGACGAGCGAACTCGTTTCCCTGATTGGTCAAAGTCTTATGACGCGATATTTCAGACGGACAAGTTGGCTTCTTACCAGGGCGAGTCGAGTGACGATTTCATTGAGAGGCAAAACTTATGCACCGGCCATTTTCATCGACGTCCGTAAAGCTTACGACACAATTTTTACAACAGGACTTCATGCTTACTCCTAAATCATAAATTGCCGGTGTCACAAAAATTAATGGAAGTGAACGCGAGCGGATGTTTTCAAAGGCCGCGTCCTTACACACGCACACGACCAGCTGTAAAAGTATTTCAATTTTTAGATGGCGTCGTTTATACTTGCCGGTAGATGGCAGCGTTTCGTGAGAACATTCTGTCTGCATCTTCAGAGATGAATAACATAAGAATAACGCCATTAACATCCTCATCGCCATGAAAACTTTAATCTCACATAAAGTAATTTTTTCAATAAAAAATTTGCACAACTTTTTGGCATCCATCCGGAAACAAATTCTATTAGCAGATTATAAGCACAGGCAAACTACAAGTTGCGCACTTTTGTCACCGTGGCAACGAACAACAAATTTCTGAATTTGTACTTCGCACCTCATAATTCCGCAATGATGGATGCAGAGTCGGTCTCCGAAATCTTATAATTCTGCTCAGAAATCGCAGGGCTCAGGAATATGTTATTGTCTCATTGCCTAAGACGCACTTCGTATATAAATTTTCACCGCATTTGATTTTTGAGAGAATAACTGAAAATTTTTTAAATCTCACGCAAACGTACATTCTTTTAACCCATCTTCCATTATATTCCATTTAAAGTAACTGCTCGTGTCTGTAACAACACAGACAAACAGGAATGTTCCTGTCGGCAACTGACGTAAAACTGCAAGCTCAGGAACTCGACGTTTCCTTCGACCTTCTGAAAATGTGAGCGTAAACAATATTTAGAACGTGCAGCAGACACGCGTAAATATTATTCATATTTCGGTGAAATTTAATTTAATTTACGTGTTTTAAAGTAAGGTGTACTCGTGGGCGTTGTGACCCTTTCAAAATTGAAAGCACGGGCTAAGGACTGACGAGAACTTAGATCGATTCGTAGTTTTCCTACTCGACATCGATGATCACTCGGTGAGTTCGTGTAATTTTCTAATCTGATGACCCAAGTGTGGTCCACTTTTAGAATACTGTTCTTTACTTCTAATAAATTTATTTTCAGAAATACTTTATGTTATGGGAAATTTCTGGCGCAATTGCACCCTACTTTAATCCCTTCCCTTCCAATAAAATAAGTTGTTTCATGAAAAAAATGACTGTAGCGGCTACTTATGCCTTTCATGCATTCAGCTTCTGTGACCTCGTTTCGTTTTGACCTCAAAAGTAATCGGCGATATTATTTTTAAAATGTGTTTTTGTCGTGAAATCCTGTGTGCTTGAAATGCTTATGGCAGTATTTGAAATCAGCTGTTTGTTACATCTTGAAATTTTCACCTCAACGTACGTCCGTTCACGAGAAGAAAGGACCCGCCATTTTTCCTTGATCTACGTAAGCGAAATCCGGCACCGGAAGACGTACGGAGCGAGAGAGCGAGCAGATGACGCTCTGTTACTCCGGTCTCTTCACGTAAATGCTTACGTGAAATTAAGTGACTGACAAAGAAAACAATCAGTAAAATATGTGTCGGTGTTATTCGTGTTACTATTTTGAATAATTAAGGGCGATCAGATGTCAACGATAGAATATATTTGAGCATTTGTGCGAATCGTTTAGCCATGCAGCCATGATGTAAGGGAAAATAGTTTATTCATTCGATACAATTTGGCTTCAGTCCTTGTATCCTCACCCACGACACATTCGCTTTTACTTTTATGGACTGGATTACGCGCGACATATTCAGTTAATTATATTCTTGTTATTATTTCAACTTAATGAATGCGAGTCTGAAACTGTCGCATTACAAGAATAAATCGTGATCAGAGCACTCAGTCACTCTACTTAAACAAAGACGCATATCAATTAGAGGTGATTTTATGTTAGAGATATTAATGTTGGTATCATTGGTATATTTTTATAAAATATTACTGTTGAGATTATAGTTATAATTTAACTTTTAATTTAATTGTTTTATTGTTATTATTGAAGCGTGGTGTGCGACTGGTGTGTTATGTTTGTGTTATTTGTGCAGTAATCATTCCGTTTTGAAATGACTGTGATGATTTGTGTTGGCTCCCAAAGTGTAATATCAAGCCATGAACGTCTTCCTGAAGTCCCTCCCCAGGTGTCATATCAGCAAAGTGACCGACAGTCTATCAAAATGGTGCCAACAAACACGCGTTATGTCCGCTCGGGTTTTCCCAAAGCACCTTCATAATTTCCGTTGATGTGCTCAGTGCATGGCGAAGATGGTCCAACAGACTTTGTCTTCAACATTCCTCGCGGGACCAATAAGTTGTATTCTCGTGGCTAAAATTATCCCGAGGACCCCCTTGCTTCTGAGTTCATCTTCAAAAAGTTAGACAAAAAATTGCCTTAACCTTAACAAATTTGGGCATTAACTTATTGTGAATTTCGTTGAGTGGGTTATTAATTCATCATGAAGAACAATTCTGCATTATTAATACGCAATTCACGTCATGATTTGGAATAACAAATCCAAGTCGGTTCATATAGATCAAGATATGCACCGATGGTCTTCTTTTGTGAGCACTGGAATGAACACTTAGACCGCGAACAAGGCAAGGAGGACTCTGTTCATTAGAATGTGTTGATTGCGCGTTCAGTTTATTGTCATGTGTGTGAGTAATATTGAATCGTAAAATACTTTCCGATTTTCTATCCCACTGAAGTTACGCAAAAACTTACTTTGAACAAATTAAATTATTAAAACATGAAAGTCCTACCATTTACTGCCAGTCCGAGGAAGCGATTGACAACAAAGTGTTTAATGACGGGACTTCATCCTAGTTTCTTTTAATCTTTAAACTACAATGATTATATATATGTATATAGGATACTTAGTCTCGCAAGTTCCCTTGTTTTACTCCTGTGACGTGTTTAAGAAATAAATTTGGGCGTATTTTGCAAAACAAGATGAGGATTTGCTTTTGGCTTACATCTCAACGAGGACACGTTAATACGTAACATTTCTGCTGAACTAAAACAGATGGCGGAAGGAAAGCTGAAGACATTGCCTGTTGGTCCGTAAATGATTTGGAGGATCCTTTTTCCTTCAAACGAAGTAGTCATTCCAAGTTGCAGAGCTTGAAAGACAAAATCTTCGCATCTCATTCACTGCCCACTACAAAGAACAACAGAAGTCCCTGGTGACGCCACTCCCCTTTAACAAATAAATCGGCTAGGCCCCCC